CTCCCAAATCGATAGCGGTCCATTTCAGAAAACTCGGTGCACAATCGTATAACCTTAAGTGCGTTCATGAACTCCGTGAACTCGATGGGTCTGCGGGCTTTGGACTCAACACCCTGTCGTCTCACCTCACATTTCATCCCCAGTTTGATGACATCGTTGACCACCGGGGAACGTGTCGGATTGCCCTCGCGCCGGATCTCGTCCCACAGTATCATGCGCCTTGGCATGAAGGCACTCAACATCTTTTTCACGTACTTGAGGGAGTTTGCACGAGCATGTGTCGGCAACGACTCGGGAGTTGGTGCGATGGTTCCGAACGCTTTTAGGTTAAAGTACCGGCGGATGTCCTCAGGCGTGACATCGAGCAAGGTGGCCTCGGCAAAGTTGGGGTCATTGAGCTCATCGGCGCGCCCCAAGAAGTCCAGGAAGCGTTTGAGCTCCTTCTGGTAGACTTTGTTGGCTCGATCCATTTGTGGTGTGATCTGTGTGATAAAGATATGGAACTTCTGGTCCGAAACATCACACTGTGAATCAAACCGAAGCGTGATATAAACTCTCCAGTGAGATCCCATTTTGCAAAATTTCAGCGCATCATCGTCCAATCATTGCCAAGCCACCACTCTGCTCAAGTCCTGATTTGCCGAAATTTTGATAATACAACCTCAGTGTGATTTTGTCAATAACATACGGATAATACCTGGATAATCCGCTATCCGTACATCCGGATAAGTTGGTTTGAAAATATAAAAAAAGAAGCACTTCTTATATTGGATAGAGCGAACTTGATCCAATCCAACGTAGACGATTTAATTCGATGAATTCTGGTGCGTACGTGTTTGATTGGTATTCAGCTCTCTCACCCTTCCGTTCATATATTTGGATTCAAAATACTCATCTGTCAAGGCTTTCATTTTCAAAATAGACTTCAGTGATCTCTCAACGTTTGCTCCCTGGTATAAATTTATTCCCTACAAAATTCTATTTGATATCAAATTTTTGAGGGCCCTTTAACATGACTGCTCTGTTTGAAAAATCAAACATGAGGCGGCCCAGGTTGACAACCACAAACATTATGAAATTAGTTTGCATGGGGGCAAGCGAAGCAAAAGCAAGAGATTGACAATTCACGACAAGAACTCGTTTGCTCAACTGATGCGGTTTACCAGTCGCCTGTAAAATTTGATATTTGTTTGTTTTTTGTGCACATGAGTCCCTCGAATAATCTATAATTGGAAAAGCGATCAAACGTTGAGGGATCTCTGTAATTGTTGCAATCATTTACGGACGGAGGTAGTAAATAGACAGATTTCGCAAACGCAGG